TGTCTGAATACATTTTGGTTTGACTGTATCTATTTGATAAATTAAGTTAACCAACTAACATTATACATACTTTTTTGGTTTCTGTACCCAATATTTAAAAAATGTACAAATGCAATGAAAATATTGGTATCGGTACGCGGTATCGGCAAGTACCAAAAATAAAAGTATCAGTATCGAGCGAGTACTGGAAAAAGTGGTATCGGTACATCCCTAGTATATATATATATAGGTGCATGAAGTATGCCTAAATGACCATACTAACATGAATCCCTACATTGTTTCTTGTTGAATAACTTGCTTTAGTTGTAAATACATTCAATTACAGACAGAAAATGAGATGAACAACATTTCATGTTGACTTTTAGCCACATTTAAACTTGATATCTGTAAATCCAAATAGTCAAGTCATGAATAAAATGAATGCATAACTTACATCAGGTAGTGTCATCACAAAATCGTGCAGATAGGCCTTCTTAGCAGCCTCTATAATCTCCTCCATGCTCACGGTACGAGAATTATTGCCATACTGGATATTCTCTGCGATACTGCAGTCGAACAGCACCGGCTCCTGGGATACGATGCCAATCTGAGACCTCAGGAAGGGCACGCTGATGCTCGCAGATGGACGTCCATCGATCAGCTAGGGCAAGAGCAGAAAGTCATGGTTTGTTTGTCACAATCAAGGATTTTGCATTTCATCTTGCTTATTAAGACATATTTTAATAGCTGCAATTCCTTGTGTGTTTTTATCAAAATGGCAAGACCCTGGACCACAAAACCAGTCAAAAGGGTCAATTTTTCGAAATTGAGATGTATACATCATATGAAAGCTGAATTAATAAGCTTTCCATTGATGTATGGTTTGTTAGGATAGGACAATATTTGGCCGAGATACAACTATTTGAAAATCTGGAATCTGAGGGTGCAAAAAAAATCAAAATATTGAGAAAATCGCCTTTAAAGTTGTCCAAATGAAGTTCTTAGCAATGCATATTGCTAATCAAAAATTAAGTTTTGATATATTAACGATAGGAAATTTACAAAATATCTTCATGGAACATGATCTTTTCTTAATATCATAATGATTTTTGACAAAAGATCAATCGATAATTTTGACCCATACAATGTATTTTTGGCTATTGCTACAAATATACCCCAGCGACTTAAGACTGGTTTTGTGGTCCAGGGTCACATATTGTTGGCTCTGTGACAAAATGCTTTTGTTCTGCTTTGTAAGTTGCTTTGGATAAAAGCATCTGCTAAATGCATTTATGTAAAGATGCAACAAATGTGGTTTCATACCACTTGTCCTTCATCGGGTTCGTAGAATCGCTCCAGCAGTTGAACGCTGGTGCTCTTCCCGCAGCCGCTGCTTCCCACAAAAGCAAGAGTCTGTCCTGGATGTACTGACACCTCCAGACCCCTCAAAACCTGGATGTCTGGCCTGCTGGGATACGTGAATCTGCACCCTTTGAATTCTATTCGGCCCTTAAAGTCATCCTGTAACAGCATAGAAGAGAACATTGGAAAGTAAAGTAACAACTGGGAGGAAAAAAACAGATACTCTCTTACCCAACTTTGTCCTTCTGTTTTGCTGATGCTAATTTTGGGAACCCTGTCCAACAGTTTGAAAAGTTGGGCAGCAGCTATCTTGGCCTTGGCGTAATCTGGTGTGAAAGATGAAGCTCTGCCAAGTGCAGTGGCACTGGTCACCAGAGCTGAAATGACTCTGAGGAATAAACACACACAGCATCTATTCATGACACTCATTACTTGATCGACTGGTATATTTCAAACAATTCCCTTTAGTGAATTATGCATGCTTATAACTGATGCTTAGCTGT